TGCGTGACTGACAGTTAGACCAGTGGCTGATTAGGTGTTCTGGAATATTCGGGAAAACATCAGCGTTGTCGTGAGATCGAAACCGTCAGAAATGCAAGGACGGATACGAATCGTCAATTGTACTACTCTCTATTATACTGCGCTTTCAAGAGCTTTCTAAGGTGCATCTTGAGTTGTGGATGATAAAAACGGCCTGACAGGATGCTGAATTTACAGAAAAATGGATTCACTGTAATTTTGTATGCGTATCCACGCCACAATGAACTGCATACTGAGTTGCTAAGTAAGGATGGAAAGTTAATCTGCGACCACCGTGCAACTGCCTCATTCTTAGCGGAAATCATCAGCAATGCCCAGTAAAAGAAAAACGGAAGGAATTCAACCTCTACGGCACTCCAAATGAAGGAGTAGGCTGCTCAACACTTATACAAGACGGACACAGCGTAAAAGAAAGAGAATCCTTCCACTGTGGTAACTGTCGATTCCTCCTGCAAAACGAATGAGATTCTGACAGATTGCCCAGTATAAAGTTTCTGATACAGTTGTTACGATAGCTGAGATGCCACAATGTAGTGAGCCCCAAGAAGGAGGAAGGCGGTTATGGGCCCTCGAAGCGTTTTCAGTAACCTTATAGGCAGTGCGTACCGTTAAGGAAAAAAGCAGCCCATACTAACCCAAACCCCTTCTCATTGGCCGGCGCGAACCGGGCTCACGACCAAACATTGCGTCTCAAAATCACCAAAGCCATATCGAGATAGAGTAGGCAGTGAGGTGAACACCACCCGCTACTGGAAAGACACTCCTTCGATCGTAAGCTCGAGTATAGGCTATCGAATAATCATTCGTCGTCAGCGCTACACGTTCCATAATAATGAAATTGAGCACGTCAGCGTACAAATCTATAGATCGACCAGCAATTCAACCATAAGTAGCTCTTCTGGTTCAGCCGGCAGTTTCGTTTGAGGAAGTTGGAATGCATGAACTGAAAACCTACTGCTCTCTGGTCACTTGGAATTTGTGAAGCGACACTAACACACACCACGTTAGGTTCGTGGCGTGATCCGTTCAATCTTCAGTCCAGATTGGTATCCTGCCAATTAGAGTCAGAAGACATGAGAATTATGTTGCTTTCAGCCAAGTTCCACCTTACCAGACTGTTGACCCATCCTAGACGTCTGCTGGGGAAGTATTCTAGACAACTGTAGAATTAGATTTTCTACCACAGTGGTATCTGTCACGTAGTCGTGTATTTTCAAAGACCCAGACACAGGTTGCACTTTTCACAAATGCATTCGTCATTCAAGTTAATGTTGGCTTTATTAACTATGTGCCATTCACATAGTTTCATCACCATTATTTTTATTCAGAACCCTTACTTCGTAAGCAACCAATGGCGGTTTACACTGTCTTTTGGAGGATTTTGGCAACTTTATCTTGTTTAAGGAAGTTCCTGTGAGCATTCAGTTGCCTTCGAAGGATCTGAAACTCATTGCAAACAGTTCGCTCCTGCCATCTGCACATTTTTTGTCAGTAATAGTACGCATTTTCAGCAACAGCCAAATTCCGCTGTCACTTGCTACGAAAGATTTTCGGAACTCGAGAGTCTACCGTTTTGGCGCAACGGCTGAAGCCGAGTGGTGAAAGATATCAAATTCCAAGCAGGACTTCTGTAAACCGAACAGAATGTGGGGTTGACGATTCCTCGAAACTCTGTGGGTTTGGATGCTCAGGACGAAAAAACACACAGCACCTTTCTCCACCTTCAATGTGGATGAGCCAAGAAGCCAAAGACAGCAAAGTAGAAAGGTGTTGAGAGGTGTGGTGTTGCTGGACGATGCATGGGAGACAGCGCAAACTAGCACAAAGAACCTAATCGTTTAACCACCAAAGGGACTCAGCCATCCAAGACAGTACCTCCAACTACATTCTATCAGTTCTCTACATACGACGTAATGTACCAGTGACACGAATAGCCGACCATACACCATGGGAATTAGCGGTCACTATCTTTTCAAAACGCTGGTGGACTGTGACACTGTGCAACATTTACATGGGATATTCGTTGGCTTGTTCGCTGAGCTGGGCAATTTGATTGCAAACGTTTCATCACCCATCGAGGTGACATCATCAGCGCGTTGTTGGGGAGTGTAGCGGTGTGTTAGTGGTTGTGCCAACCAATAACGCACTGATGATGTCACCTCGATTGGTGATGAAACGTTTGCAATCAAATTGCCCAGCTCAGCGAACAAGCCAACGACCATCTACGCCACCTGAGCTACCGACATTTTCCTCCATAGAAAACATTGAATATTTATGTCAGTGTCGATGATGGAGGACTTACACCTAACCCAATGGTGGAAAAATGTAATGATTTTCCAAATCGACAACGGAATGACAGGCGGAAGAGGCAAGTATGTTCCTCCGCAAACAACTATCCTTTAAATGAAACTCCTTACAAGGATGATGAAAAAAATTTCTACGGCCCACGACCGTTTTCATCCTTCTTGGGGATCCTCAGGTAGGCGCAGTCCCCAAATTACCATCAACCTTAGTCTCAACTTGAACCCAATTTCTGCATAAAATACGCGAAATACACCCGCTCATTTGCACACCCACTTGGATTTCAAGGGAATCTCAGCTGAATCTCAGTTTGCTTGCTTGGGTTTATCATCTCCCGCACAACCATAAGCTTTAATCGTTCATAACCGCACTGACATTCAAGATGTATGATATGTTGTCACAGAATGAGTGCGTTAATTGCAAAAGAACAAAGGAACTTATTGTCCAGAATCTGTGTATGGGAGTTGGATGCTAAATAAATAGGGGCTTACATCTTGCGAGTTTTTACACAGCTACCGATAAGATAATATCATTTTGAATCTTATTGCGGCAACATCACATCATGCAATATCATCAAACAAACACAAATGGGTCTATTTGTTCACATGTAAGTGTGAACAGTAGAGGCAACGTAGTTAAACGTAACAGCATGGAGAATGTTACTGGAAAGTGTGGTGTATTTTACTTAGGAAGGTACATAAGGAGCTGAGAAAAGCTTACATCCCCGTAGACATTGCTGATCTTATTTCAACCTGTCAGGCCATGGGGGTTGGGAAGACAAATAGCTCTTGAACGGGCGGACTTGGCAGTGACGCTGTCGTAGAAATCCGAATATGCTGCTAAGACAGCTATTGCGTTTAGAAACAATCGTTCAGACGTAACGCGCTTTCCGTGCCTAGCTATCATGCTACCCCAGGGCTGAGATACTATCAGGTTCCCAAACATAGGCAGGAGCAGCTGAGATGCTGAGGTTGGGCCCGAACTGAGGACCTTCCGATCAGTAAGTTGTCTCCTTGATCAGTGAGCTATCTTGAGCTCTCTCAATGTGTTTGTTTCCGAAAGACTTATGAGGAACAGCGCTATCAACCAGAGCATCTTAAGCAACGCCTAATTTCAAGAACCCTCCGACAAAATCATGTAAGTACGTATCCCGTAATCAAACCAATCAACAAACTGAGAGAGCAGGAGGTTGCTTTTGAGCTGCCGAGCATTTTGAAAATTTTTGGGGTGCCGGCACGAAAAACAAACGAGAAAACGATCGCGACTCAATGGACCACACTAATGATTGCAAAAAACAATGGATTTTTGTGCACATTTAACAACTCTCAGCCGGAAATGGACATGGAGCACAACATTAAAAATTATAAACCAGAGGCGGTCAGCCCTAAAGCAGTTTTCCTTAATAGAAAGAAACACGCGGTCGATTGCTTTCCGAAGACTGGCCAGTTCCAGTCCACACTTACCGCCTGAAAACTTAGAGCCCTTGGTCCAATAAACATCACTTCCCAAGTGAGGATCGTTAAACTTTAAGAGAAATTGCTTGTAGTTACATTCTCAATTAATTCGATGCGTAGAGTGAACCAGGCAAACCACCTGAAGGTTGGAAACTATTTTCAATGGAGATTTCGTCCTGTAAGTGAAGCTTATCCAAGCTGAGAAGCCAAGAACTGTACAGCTCTTTTATTCTCATTGAGAATCATCAACAGTGAGCACTTCAAGAAACCCCAGGGAGTCTCGAAGCCGCGACCTCCCAGTTGTTAGTTTGGACACCGTTCGATCACGAGTGGCTGATCAGAAGTGTGATTAGTTCAAACTTAGACAGGGTATAGCGCCACTCATCAGATAGTTTACATCACGCTGTCACAAGTGCTGACTGGCTCCTTGAATGACGACTTCTTATATAAGTAGCTAGGTATGTAAGCAAGGCAAATACTCTCAATGGAGCCACACTTCTTTGTCATCGCTCTTTATGTGCATCAAGGTTTGTGTGAAAACTAGCGAATACAAGGCACCGCGGGACATTATATTATTTAGAATTCTCAGAATACAGCATCGGTGTGCTGAAAAAACACTATGCAGTCTGGACAAGAACACCAATCTCGATAGGCATTTAGTCCAGGGTCATCTCTGTGCTGGGGAATAGTAAGTCTTCAGGCAAAAGACGGAACTTCGGGGATTTCAGCAGCCAGACCCAATGGTACTCATCAATAGTGCCATGAGTCACGGACCATGTAACGGTCCCTTTGATAGCAAGCAATATGGGTATTTTGGGCCATGCAGTCCGAAGAAAACAAGGGATGATTTGCTTGTAAGGCTGAGGTCAAGTTGAAAGAACATCCTTGGACGAAACGGTGGATAACGGGCAGTCCAAATGGAAAAAATCTATTCGAGTTCCAAATAAAAATACCTACTTTATGGGGAAACATGAGCATCTGCGGTGGTCAACATTAGGTCTAACATGCATCACTATCGTTGTTACTTTTCGGAGTTTGTTCAGCCGCATATCCACTGGGAGCTAATATGGGTATGGAGTTTCGTTACTCAATTACCTTGAAAGTTCCTCCAATATTTCGTGGTTACAAATACCATGATTGAGCTTAAAATACGGGGTTGGGGTATGAAAAGGCATCAGTAAAAAGACTCAAAAATAAGCAACTAACCGTCTGTTGTGCATAAGAGTTCTGTAGGTGCATTGGCCACAAACTGCGGTTCTGTTTTCACGTGGACGATCTCCCCGTTTGCTGGTTTCAGGCACGGAAGACCAAATTCCTGCTCGATTTTAGCCTTGAGAAAATCCATCTTGCTCGCTTCTCCATGCACAAGTAATACATTTCGAGGTTGGCAATGCGAAATCAACTGCATTATGCCTCGAGCATCTGCATGTGCTGAGAAAGACAAATATTCTACGCGCATGTTTACATCCAAAGCTTGTCGGTCAAATTCGAGACGCTTGACTCCATTCAAAATCTGAAAAGGACAAAGAGATATTCACTACTGACATCGAATAAGTAGGTAAATTAGTTCCACCATTGGAAATGGTGGCCTTTGGCATTGGTCCTTAGCATTGCAAGGTGGTCTAAAAGTGAGTTCTTCTAGATCCCCAAAGATCCAAATGCAGTGACGTTGCATTTTAGAATTCAAGTTCGAATGGCAGTTGTTTTTAAGGCTACGAGAAGAAGGAGCTGTAATAGTTTCGGGAAAGTCCTCTACCCTGCAAACCTCTAATGAGACCACAACTGAGTGAATAACATAAAACCAACTGGATATGATCAAATATCATGAACAAAGGAAGCTCCGTTGCACGAATTACTGTTCAGGCCCTCAAGATTGCCGAGTGTATCTACAACATCATTTCCCGATAAAGAATTGAGGAACAAGTATTCCTGACTGAGATTACCATCTGCGAAACATTCAGTAAATTCATTCAGTAGAAAATCACTCGTCGAATGAATACGAATATTCATGGGGAGTTCGCCCCGATGGATTTGGTGAATGTTATCTGGAACCGAATAAGAAACCATATCAACGTTTTACTGATAACCCAAAAATCTTCCCAAGGCCTTTCAGAGTCACCCGTAGCGGTTCAAACCTGACCAACTTGTAGTCGAAGGCGTTGAAACGGTGCCTGGAAATAAAAGGACATTTCGAACACATTCCTCCGACTTAGCTTCTTCTTCTCCATTGGCTGCACAATCTTTTCCCCTGAAAAAGTTTTCGGATCCAGTATACGTGGTTGTAGTAGGAAGGGCCTGAAAGCTGTACGTACAAATATCGTACAAATTCAAGAGCGACGAACCGAATTGATTGTAAACCAGTCTATGAAGTAGGCATCACTGTCACATAGATTGAGCGTCCACACCGTTTCCCCTGCTTCAACTTTTACAGAAGTTGGTGAAATTAATTTGCCATATGTTCGGATCAAGTTAACTGGTTTCCCACCTGATTCTCTTTCCCAAGGGACAGACAGTTCTTTCCGTACAAACATGCAAGGCACTTCACACCTTCACCATTGCCCATAGGATAACACTTTTGTATAGGGATGCATTAGGTAGTCCGTCAGAAATGTTACTCAAGAGCTCTGGTTACTCCAGTCATAAAAACCACACAGGTTGAATGGGCCTTCCAACAAGGAGCCAGCCAATATCGAATCGCGTGACGTGAACTGCACGACTAAAAGACAATGGCCCAGGCTAATCACATTGCTAATCAACGATCGGATGATATAGTGTTCAACTAATAACCAAAAAATTCATGGGTCCGAAACCCTTGGAGATCTGCGGCAGGCGCAATGCCGAAGGGTCCCAACATGGATGGAACCACTACAAGATTCCGCTCACCCTGTAAAATGAAATTCCAACTGAAGCTACGGACGTTTCTAACATCTAAGATAGTTTTGACCACTTTGATGCCACTTATGTCTATGGAGACCCGAGAGAGAACTCCAAAACCCATTCTGGTATAAGCGACCTGTCAAAACATGATACGGTTGGTTACCCTTGGTGGGACCTGAGGGAAAACCAGTTTTAATTGCTCTCTTGAGTCAAACTTCTAAAATAGGTCAACTTCGGCCGTTTCCCTAAGGTGGTATCTGCAACAAGGCAAACCAATAGGACCACCGGCCCTAAGAATGAAATATTCCTTCCGTTGAGTGTTGCGGGAGCCCATTCTATTCCCCACACCACCTGTGGCGGTGTGGGGAAAGCCACTACATCAAGGTGACTGACGGAGTGAAATGAAGTCTGCATCGTCCACTAAATCGTCCGAGTTATTGATGCTCTCTTAGCTAACAAGAGACCCATACCTGACGACCGAGATTACTTTCGAACATGGAGTTACCTACACGATCTGGCGTAGCAGGAAACTACTAAACCAGTTCAAAGAATCCAGCTGTGCTACAGGCGTTTTGGAATTCAGGGCGAAACATTGATAACAAATGGTCAACACAAATGAAGGAAGCGATTCAACATTTACCTTGTACCCAACAGTTCCTGCGACACAGTAACCTGGAATAACGACCATATTCCGCTCATCTGGGGCCCATTTTCGGAAGATGTGAAGTGACTGTCCAGCATGTAGCATTCCAGGCGTGGCAAACACCACCATTGGGCCAGGGTTGTCCACTATTCCCTGACCAAGAGGCTGTTGTTGAGGAAATGGATGAAAGTAGTCCTTAAAAAGTCAACACCGAAGACAATATATCAAAAACCGTGACGAAATTGGGATAGCGAGCAACCTGTAAGTAAAGGGCTTAGTTGTAAACGACGTTGATTCTTCGTTCCTTGCAAACCAAATTCTACTCAGGACGCCTAATGTTTCAACTGGTACGACATTCGATATATTGCAATATGTTGCCATCTAGACGAAACGTACTACCTATAGGGTTGCTGGAAGCTACTGGACAGTCCACAAACGGTTTCTCCCTTCTTGGGATTTATCAGGTAGGCGCAGTCCTCGACTGCTAGATATACGGCTGAAGTGGACCACCACAAATGAGAAATTCAGCTGCCAAAACCAAATGTGTGCACATGAGCGTAGTAGCGAATTCTGTCTAATCTGAGTTCAAGTAGGGCAAAAGGTGAGGAAACTCTTCGACTGCACCTAAGTGATGAGACCTGAGAAGAGCGAAACCGGTCGTGGGCTGTCAAAGGGTTTTCAGCAACCTTATCAGTAGTGCTTTGCGTTTAGATAACTTGTATTTAATTTATAAACGTATCTGCTTGCTGCACATTCGTCGGAAACAATGGTCAACAAGGGTTGTTAACCTTTACACTCCGAAACGTCCCGTAATTGTTGTTGCAGAATGATCCGAACTGAGGGACCACGTTAGGGAATTCTAAAATGTGCCCTGATGGCAGGAAAAAACGTATATTCCTCGCACCAGTGTGGCAAACGTTTGCTAGTATCCAAGATTTTTAAGGCTTCGTAATTCGGGATAAATTTCCTATTTAGTCTGAAGCGAATGCTCCGAATTCTTGCCACCCGTGATTGATGTATCAGCGCAACATCGTTAATCCGCGAAAAGTAGTTATCTACATCATTGTACGCTAGCGTTCCTTCTATACTTCAACAAAATTCGTTTCTTTATTGCCTCATTGAGAATCCGGTGGTTCCAGACGATTACAGCTGTACTTCTGGGACATCGGTGGTTAAAGACCTGAAGATGTCTCGGATTTGTCTCTCGAGGTGGCCGCATCTCACAGCCTTACAACAACACAGTCAGTATTGTTGTCTGATACACGCGAACTGAATCTCAGTTCCAACCCCGTTAATGACATTCTTCAAATTGGATACGCTGCAAGATGGTCGCAAATTATCGGTTGGTATGACATTCGAGATTCAAAGTGGTTTCTTACGGAACACACTACTCATGAGGTCAGAGAAAAATCTTCAACAGCCCAGGACCAACCCCAACTGGTGAGTTCAAGGAAGGACGAAATCATTTGTTGGCCGTCTTCAGGAAAGTGTGTTCTGTTAAGAAAACGACCGCATCTTTTCAAGATTGATCTCTTGGCTAGTGATGAAAAAATATGGATAACACCAAGTCTTTGGATGTCAGTCAGCACAAGCTTTGTGCTTAAAGGCTGGGAAAGTGCCAGAAAGGTGAGTGTATAAAATAACACTGGAAACGAAGCGAATACAAGGCAATCTGGATACTCATTGTTTGAAAATGGTTATGAAACTGTCAGATATGCTACACATGTTTCCCTGTAAACTGTCCACTCTAGTCCAAAACGCCCTAAGGCGGGAGAGAGCGCTCGCTGCCTATGTTTAGTATATAAGAAAAGTGCCCTATTCGGTAACAGTAACAGAAATAAATGCCCCCACTATCAACGGGGTTAAACCATCACCGGATTGACTTTATTTGCAATCGGATGAATGAAAGAAATAAGGCTGACTTTACAAAGAGGCCTACCTTTATGTGTTTAAACTCAAACATGTTCCTTTTAACGAATGTTTCTTTGATTTTCTGATTGGTCCACGAAATGAACAATTTGTAGTATTCGTTGGCCTGGATGAAAGAAAACACTGACAAATTCATTTGAAGTATACCTTTTCAGCCATTCCCATTGAGAAGTAGATGGGTACAGATATATTCATCCGCTCCCAGTAGGTCTCCAACAGAATACACAATTCTTGTGCCCGACCAAGAGCAAAAACTGGAATCAAGACCTGAAGAACATGTGAATTGCAACGAAAGCAACACACTTTTCCACCAGCTTCAACACGTGCGTGGATCTTTTCCAGAAACTCGCGCTCCCTAGCTCGTTTCGAATCGCGTATTGTAGTGGCATAGGTACTCTCTGTGATCAGTATATCAGGACAACATCTAGAAACCCATGCCGCCCCTAAGTGCCGATCAGGTGTCATATTATAGTCACCCTGTTGGAGAGATAGCAAGCTGAGACACAATTATGAATACTGACCGTGTACAAGACTGACTGGGACCCAACACGAATGAGAAACATTGCAGCACCGAGTACATGACCTGCATAGAATGCCTGCAGCTCCAACTCGTCGTCCACCTACAGTGTTTTTGCTAGCTGAGCTTCGTCACGTAAACCTTGTTACCTTGACGGTTTGGTGGACATAGACACACTTTACTTTGCCCATACAACGGTATATCATTTCTGAAGTGAAGAAATTTTGCTCTCCACGCCGTTCTACTGTGATTTTGCGATAGTCATCCTGTAAGGGTCTATAGTAAGGAGAGCAAGCTCGAGACTGCTACGTACCAAGAGGATGGGACATATTGCCTTTGTTGGATGTGTCATGTAGATTGGGCCGTCGTAACCGACGATCTCGGTCATGTAAGGTAACGCACCACAGTGGTCTAAATGAAAATGACTACAAGTACAGGGAAATATGGTAACAAAACAAACTTGTGTGAACTTACCTGATTATTACGCAATCCAAGTAATCAGTCAGACTGTGGTTCTCAGTTATGTAGGAAAAGTCCGGAAAACGTCGCTGGATGGTAGAAAAAGTCTGGGAAAATCCAGCCCTTACCTCGTCATTATAGCCCATGTGCATCCCACAGTCCAGCATCACGTTCTTCCCACCGATGGTAACAAGAATGCAACTCCGACCAACATCTTGTCCAGCTCCTAATCCGAGATATTTTTATTTCCGTAAAGAAGGTATGCTAGTGAACAAACCCAATGGGATCACGCGGATGGAACTCATTCAGTGGCTACAAAGTGAAAAAATGGAACCGCCATTTTTATGCGACAGTTTTACGATTGAACCTAAAGAAACCCCAGGCACCAAAAGTAATAATGTGGAACAGCTTGTGTCTTAAGATTATTATACACACTGGAGTCTTCACGCATCATAACAGGGTTCTTAAAGGGGGTTCCAAGTGTTTTCTTCTCTTTACAAAAAGCTAACAAAGGAAAGAAAGCCCGATGGTCAGAGATCCTACGAAAAGATGTACGGCCAGCAAGATCATCAAAGTCCAAGACACGTTATGAAAATCATTTGCTCATATTCTATGTGAATCATGGAAACAAAACAACAATAGTGCGTAAATCAAGAAGTCTTGCGATGTTGAAGAATATCGCCAGTTGAAGGAAGAAACGAGAAAGAATTCCAGTCGAGGGAAATTCTTAGAAAAAATGAATAATCTTGTTCGGCTACAAGAATCTGAAAAAGATCGCGGAGATTGTAGAAATGCAAGTGGAGTGATCACCTGGTTGGTTATGGGAGTTTCGATAGAGGCTGGTAGTCACGGTTTGGAATCGACAGTCCAGGAAAGATTGAATGAATCCAGTCAAAAAAATATTGGTGAGACCCATTCAAACAAGATAGCGGTATTTATTGAAAGAAAGGGTTGTTGTTGCGCCTCAGCAATAGGCGGAATAGAGAGGGCAGGATACACGTCGAAGTCGTAGCCTAGCTACCTCAAACGAGTCACATTGTTAGCGTTTTCTGATCGGCTACACAGTAAGAGCAACAGCTTTGGTGCAGGAGCATCACTTAATGCACAATTCGGTGACGACCGCCAATGTCATTGTCTATTGCTCTCTCCTTTCACTCGAAGAGGTTATGGGTAGCGCAAGTTTCCTCGTCAAATATCCTGTACCTTATGGTAAGACGTCTGATCACATCCTGATCCTTTTTACCCATCATATCACCACGCGCTAAGACGCCAGTTAAACAAGTGGTCCGCTTGCATAAGGTGATGGTTGGCTTGAAAGCACATTGTACGCACTCGTCCACAAGGATGCGCAGCACCTATCGGTCCAGCTGAAAGTGAGTGACTGTTTGGCAATCGCCATCTTATCTCTTCTGCTTTTACCATCCATTTGCATCTGCAGGTTGAAGAAGTTGCAGCTGAAGAACTGAGCGCCAAAATCGTGCAAGCGCGGCAAAAACGGAGAAGATCCATGGTTGCTTCCAAAAATTGACGGCCCCGAGATACCTGTCCCTAAAAATGCAGTTTCCCAATATCAATCGGGTGAATCGGAAAAAAGCTTATTTTTTAACTTTGGTCGCGGAATGAGGGCTACAAACGTTAGCAAGTCATTTGCCAAGGTCGAAAAACAGATCAACAGCCACCCGATCAATAACCAATAATACACAACCATTCTAACCTCATTTCCTCACAGCCACAAGGTTCATCGACTTTTCCGAAAAAGACCGTCTCTCCTCACCTGGACGCACCAGTAGAAATACCCCAAAAACTTACGCAACAGGGAAGCCTGAAGATATAAGCACGTTTCTCGCAGTCGTACAACTACTATCTACTATCTCTACAAATAACCATTACTCCCTGGGTTCGTCCAGCTGTAATGCTCTTTCGGCGTATAGCTGCTGTCACCTAAAGGAAGCATGAGGGCTAGGATACTGCCAGGTTGCCCAAGCCTATACAGCGGAAGTCGAGATGCTGGGGTGGGGTTCGAACCACGGAACTTTCGGTTAGTAAATTCGCGCTCCAACCACTGAGCCGTCTCATCCCCACTCCCCAGGTTGCGCACTTCCACTGCACGTGCACGAATACATACCTGCACAGTTCAGCCCTCGCGTCGGAGTTGAGGCGAAAGCAGTAACGTCAAATGTACTCCGTCACCTTATGATAACCCACAAAGCACTGGCTCGAGAGCAATGAGAGAGATTTTGGCTTCGCATGATTGTGTTCGTATCTTCACAGTCGACCTGGCGAACCGCAGTTCTGATAGTTATGGATATCCAACACGAACGTGACTTGGCTGCTCAGTTCTTCTTACCAAACTTGTTCAACAAGGGTTGCTCCGGAAATTTGTCAATGACGGGCTTTTCTCATTACCACATTTGTGGGCGAGATACTGTTAGTATAGTATAATATAGCCCTGTGTAGGGCTACCCAAAGGCTTCCGTATAAAGCACAGCGTCCAAAAGCATAGCTTCAATCTCATACCCAACTCGATTTCGTGATTGAAGATCTAACGCAAGGAGAATCTCCAAGCCGTGGTGTTCATAAGTCTTGTGCAGACACCATCTCTATTGTCCTCGGATAGGGAAAGGCGTAGATGTTTTTGGATGAACTCATCATTGTTTGAGATGTAATCCGCAACTACGAACTGAAGTCGCTCTCTTGGACATGCAACCAAGAGACGAGTAAACTAAACCCAAAAGAATACAACCGATAATGTGGAGCGCTTACGTACTCTGAATTTTGTATAAGCTCTGGACTCAGTGGTTAGAGCGCGAACTTACTGACCGGAAGGTCCGTGGTTCGAACCCGATCTCTGCATCTCGTCTTCCCCTATCTAAGCTTGGGTTACCTGGCAGTATCCCGGCCCTCGGTCTTCTTTCTGGTGGCATGACAGGCTGTTACAGCTGAACGATTTATATACGCTCCGAACACACCCTGGCACGGTGCCAGTGCAAAAAACTCTAGAGTTATGAGCACCTTATCCAATTTTAGGTAACAGGGTACGCTAAATTATGGGCTGTGGTGTTGCACAGTGTAGGCGGAATTCAACTCCAAAACAGCTTTACCAGTGACAATTGGGCGCCGCAACGGCCAACTACTCAACTAGCATGTGATTGGTCAGGAAGACTGGTCGCCACCACGGCCAGCACAAAGTCGGGCTCTGATTAGTCGAAAATGTGAAGCAGTCGGTCAGTGTTGCCCTCTGGAACACGCCGGATCTAGGCAACATGTTTCTCCAAGGAAAACTTTATTCACGTCCCAGGTATATCCATGTAAGTTAGTTAATGAGCTACCACACCTCACGGGGCACAACGGTATTCGTCAGGATTTGGATGGCGACTGCAAGATCAATGAAACAACACCGGCCATTTAACGTCATTCGCACATCTCGATAGACGCTAGACATCTTTACGATCTACAAATTTTGTCGATATCGGAGAAGCATATCAGCGGTAACTATAGCCAAAGCACGTCCGGATACTCAGAGATCGAGTGGTAAGGAGCCGGAGGATGGATAGACAGTACTTATCGGAAGTGATAGCCAGATAAATGTGAAAAGCTTGCGCGGTGATAAACAATTGCGCTAAGCTCCAGGTCGAACCGAGAGGTAGTAGTCAATCAGGCGACTTGTGATTTGGGTGGCCGTCCGTTGGCTATGCTTGAACTCAGCCTGCCAGACAACGCGGTGAAGAGAAGCTAGGTAACCCTGGAGACAACAGGTTTGCCAGGACAAATACAATAATAAGTTTACTTCCCAATTTGTGGGGAACATGTCGATTCAGGCATGATCGGGTCGTTACGACCTGAATACGGCTGACAACAACACAGTAGGGGGAAGGTACAACCGATGAGACATGCTTATTACATGAAAAGCCTGCGCGGTTGCAGGTACCGAAAAAAACTACGACAACGGGAATGATGTCCGATTAGTTCAAAGATGAAGCCAGCTGAAATGAACTAAAAGTGAGAACCATTGCTGGCCATGATTGGATAAATGGCCGGAGTCACAAAAAGCAAAAAAGGGGATGGAGATGAAATAATTCGAACTGGAGGCAGATGGAAAGTTTCGTCTGAAAAACGTCGTTTAACCTGAAACCAAGTAGACTCAGCAGTGTAGCTGTTGTAGAGAAGTCATGTGTGAAGAATAGATTCGATAGGGAGATAGTGCTAACGCATAGGGCCGAACGAACACCTTATATGGAATTGAACCTGTGGAAGGGGCAAGCCAAAGTTGCGACAGAAAACCAGGCTAGTTAAATCCGGACAAAAGTTCCACCGGGTTGGATGAACCGGTCCCAGAAGTAGTTGGAGCCAGGTGGGAAATGTCCTATTAGTTGCAATTACGTGCTCGAGCGCACGAGAGTTTACGGTCGATATTCTGAAGAAAATAGTTGCGGGAATGCCATCACACTGGGTATGGTAGTGCCATACTTTGGCTTGTGGACAGCACAGTAACGTCGTCAAGTTGCCACAATCGGACAGCGAATAAGGGTTTCCGTGGCATCTGGATCTAGGTTGGACGAGGAGACTGACATAGACGGATTCAGGCTAATGCAAGGTCGCTGGTACTTACCCTTCAGTTGGAGGACGATTTGAGTGCAGATCGAGGACCAGGCAGATTGAATTAATAGCGGTTGTTCGGGGTGCTTGGGCTATCGCAGCCGAAGTTTGCAGCTTGGTATGAGGGATGGGGAAGAAGGAATAGGATGAGAGCAGAAGCAGCTGGTGAGTGCCAGGAGACATCAGATAAGACGGTGTAAGTAGAAAGGAAGACTAAAAGGGGATGACGGCAACTTAAATGAACCCAGGAAAGAGGGTATTTGTTTGCGGACTCAGAAAGCAACTACTAGTTGAGCCAGAGTAGTTGGCTAATTTTGGAGTAGCCAGCTGAGAGGCCAAACTTTGGACTTGTTAGAACAGGCGATCGCATGGTGGTAGCTTTTAGCTTACCAAAAAAATCCGAAAAAGGTTCTTCGCTGTACAAAGTGGGGATAATTGTGATCCGGGATAGTCGACAAGCAATAAGCGGTCGGGCAACAGCTTCCGAGATCACGGATAAAAACTGTAGTTTAACTGAAGTCTACTACGTCAACTTGGCAGGAAGTTAAGATTAAGAATCACCAGCCAGCAACTTACTGCCGTCAGCTTCAAGTAACGAATGATGCATGGCGAAGGCAGCCATTAGGCGCT